TCTAGCTTACTGTCTCCAACTATTTTCCAAAAGTCTATTTGGAAATTTGAGTTGGGTAAGCCAAGGAATAAGGAATATCTACTTCTCCCTCGATATCTTCCATGACCTCCTCCATCGCCAGATTTACAAATTCGGGGCGCTGATGATAAGGTTTTATCAAATTGACATGATAAAGGGTGTCACTGTTACGCTTAACCTGAAATCTCTACGGTATAATTGGTTTCGAAAATCGCACTAGTTACTTTATCTGCCCCTATCCAGTTTACTGCCATCTTGTGTGGCTTAGACGTGGCTAAAACAAGCACGAGATCTCTGACCTTAAATCTTCTTGTAACAATGTTGCGATCATACCAGTTTCCTTTTACTCTGACACTCTTTCATTCTCTCACTTCTTTAATCTGTTTACTAAGTCTAGAATATACTTGACCACAGTGGGGTCTGAACTTTCTTCCTCTAGCCAGTTTGCATACACGATCGTTTGGGGCACTCTCAAAATTTTCCCATGTACTAACTCGCAGGGACTAAAACCTGTGCTCTCATGGCTAACAGTTCTAAGGGCAAACAAAGAACATGACAAACATTCTTCCCAGTCTTTCCCACTTTCCAAGCACAAAGCCTTCAATACCCTTTTCAAGGTGGAATGCAACCTTTGAACAGAATTGCTTTGAGGGTGACACACAGAAGAATGATACACCTTAATTCCGAACTTACTAAAGAACTCAGATGTAAGTTCACTGGTAAACGATCTACCCAAATCCCACTGAATTTCCTTAGGGTAACCTGATCTAGAAAAGATTTGTATCAAGGCTTTAATCACACATTTAGAGTTTAAATTCTGTACAGGAATGGCATCTGGATATTTGGAAGCAACACAAATAGACGTAATTAAGCATTTATTTTCACGCGAACTAGGGATCATAGGTCCTACTGCATCAATATTTAATCTGCTAAACACTTCTGATATAACAGGCACAATCTTCATAGGGGCTTTCTTTTTATCCTTATTGTGACCTACACGCTGACAAATATCGCACGTCCTCACAAATTCTTCACATTTCCTGGTAGCAATTAAGGCCAGAAATAATGTGTTAAAACTCTATTCTTGGTTTTTGTTACCCCTAAATGACCAGAGGATTTCCTCGTGGCATAACTTCAAGATCCCTTTCCCTAAAAAATGAGAGGCACACACAGCTGACGCTTATCTTCCCCTTTTTTAGAACTTGCCAGTCTGAATAGTCTTTCCTTGACTATTATAAACTCTTTTTCATTTTCACTTTCCCCCTTTCTTCCACAGGGTCGCTAAACTAGCGCAAGTTTTTTGTGCTTCCGAGAATTCTGCTGGGCCAAACATCCACAGATGATAGACCTTTCCTTCTAAACTGATGTCTGGAATCTTAATGTTCTCTCTCCCGTATTTACTGGTTAACTTCCTTTCTTCCGAATAGCTCATTATTTGACAAGCCCTTTCACTTTCTATCTCTTTCTCTTCTTCCGATCTGGAATCTAAGTCTTTTGCACTCGCTCTCTCTAAACTCCTGCGCGCATGCCGCCTGACTACGAGTCTCCACAAGCATTCAAGAGAACCGGTCGTTCCCTAGTTTCCTCAATCAACTGTGCAGTTTTATTTCCCTAACAAATAGTACTCTTTATCTAACTCTACCGGAGTAACCGCTGCCTTTGTGGTGACCACATCAAAATCACCTTCAATGGTGACTTTCGCCAAAGGTAAACATTTACATTCTGTGTCCAAAGTCTGTTTCACCCATACAGTTTCCCCTAATAAGTCACTAGTATTAATCCAAGTTCTATTACACAGATCTATACCAGCTCCAGTATCTCTCAGATATTCTCTCTCTATCCCATTATATGCTGCTTTCTTGAAATACGGCTCAAAACATTTTCCTAAACTCTCCGTTCCTAGATTATTCACCAGATTAGCCTTATTCTTTTCCAGTGGACAGTTAGGTCGGATATGTCCGTCCTTTCCACATTGGTAACACCTTATTTTCCGCTGTTTCTCGAAACCTGCTTCATTGAAAACTTGCTTTTTTTAGGAGCCTCCACTTTTCTATGCTCCTCTGATTTAATTCTTTGATGACCACTACTTTTCTGATTATAACTACAGTTAGAATTTACATACCGCTCTCTATCTTTCTCAAATGGTTTCTTTAACCCCGCTCTCTGTTCTAACTTCCTCGTATCTCTTCGCAAAGCCTCATACTTGTCGCATTTCTCTGCTAAAATGGAAGCTGTTTTAAATTCTTCCCAATTGTCTAAGTAGTGCTCTCTTATTTCTAGAGGGACTCGTCGTTTAATTTCCTCAGTGAGCATAAGTTCCTTAAGACTTTCAAAATCTTGAACTTCTAATGAATCCAACCAATTCTCTAAATACACTCTCAATTGATACACTAAATCCACCCATAACATTCCGTTTTTTCTAGAATGTTCTTCAAATTTTGTTTTTAGTGCCCAAGAACTAAGCTTGAATCTCTGCATGAGTAATTTCTTAACATGCTGATAATCATCCCCTTTATCCGCTGGTTCTTTCATTATTAACTGGGACTACATCGTAAGGTAATAAAGAATTAATTGCGAGACCCAATTCAATCTCATTAACGTTCTCTTTTTGGAGCTTGTTTTCTCAAATAGCATAAAGAATAATGAAATATCTATATTACTCGGTTCAAAACGCAGTACTAGATCTTTCAAATTCAACCTTTTTTTCTCTAGATTGTTCAACTTTCGAAACCTGTGGACGCTAGGCTATTAGTCTGAACCACATTCATCAGTTTTAACCTTTCCAATTCAAAAATTCGCTCCCGCTCCCGTTCCCGTTCCGCTCTCTCTTGTTCACGTTCCCGCTCTGCTCTCTCTTGTTCACGTTCCCGCTCTGCTCTCTCTTGTTCACGTTCCCGCTCTGCTCTCTCTTGTTCACGTTCCCGCTCTGCTCTCTCTTGTTCGGCTATTTCTTCTGCTTTTCGCTGCTCAGCCGTAGCCCAAATTCTTGCCGCGTATTCTTTCGCAGCTTCTTCTTCATAGTCCTCGGCATTTAGAATAGCCTGCCTAATTTCTCTTACTCTATTTGCCTGAGACACATTTGTTTCAAACTCCTCTGCTAACTCCAATAGCAGAGCTTTAGTAAATTTCCTCATAAACTCACCCATTATGGAAAATTAAAAAAAAATAACCTACCCCGAAAAACAATAACACAAAAACAACAACAGGTCTAAAAACAAGTCTAAAATCAGGTCGTAAAACAAGTGGGGGTACCAGATCTGGATTACACCGATTCCCAGAAACTGAATGTGCGTGTAAATTACTGCAATACGTTGAGACAAGAACTGAGAAGTCGCTTCTGCAAGGACTTTCTGGCTCAACTGGTGCAGAAGGCAAGCGCTTCATGTCAAAACCTAAAGGTGGGGGACGTAGTCCTCACAGAACTAGACAATAAAAAACGTGTAATGTGGCCAATGGGCAAAATTGTAAAAATATTCAGTAGCAGCGATGGGGCTACCAGAGTGGTACAGATAAAAACAAGCAGTGGATATTTGGTAAGACCAATCAAAAACCTGTATCCACTAGAAGTTTCAACTATTGCCAGTGATCCTGTGCTAACTCTGGCAACTGAAAACAGATCTAGATACGGTAGACTCTTAAAAAACCAAGGACATGCTCATAGAAATAATGTACAATATAGACGTTTTGGACTTATATCCTCTTTTCTTTAGCAATGACTTTAATTAGAAGTTTATTCTTTATTGATCTCATTTTAGTATGATCTGTCATATATATTGTATGTTAATCGAGTTTCTTTTATGTGTTTTCTAAACTAATACATAGTACTGTTTTGTTTTTATTCGTAATGTTAGAAAATTTTGTGCAATGTCTGATTTTGAGAAAATTCAGGTGTGGGAGGATGTTGTACCTCTCATCATACAGCGAGGATAAGTCTATCAACAGCTGCAGGAAGAAAAACTTGGCAGTGCTGGAATGCAACAGCGGATGCCATTCCAGCACTGCCAAGTTTATTTTGTAATATTCTATAGATTTTAATATTTTGATTTTGAGTCGATGTTTCCTTTGCGATATTATTGCGTTAAAACATTTGAGTTTTGGGTGAATGAAATGGAATCCGCTGTCCCGCTGCGAATATTAGTAAAATATATTTAGAAAATTAGCTGCGTTAGAAAGGATGAAATCCTTGTGTTTGAATTTGCGGTAATCTTCCTCCTAAAGTTGCGTCGAGTTCAGAATATTAGGCCAGGCTTATTCACGCTGGTGCAGATAAGTTTAAATTTTTGTTATTGTGTTTATAGTGTATAAATTGAAAATATATGAATAGAATTCTATAAAATAAACATTTAAAATTCTGGAATGGTGTTTTAAAATTTTAGATGTAGAGTATTCACATTGCTATGTCGGAGCCAGTGGCAGTCAGGTGTAAAGTAAAATTGTTTTTGCTCCAAGACCTAACACTGGTCGTGATTGCCCTTATGTACTGAAAACCGCTATGCCAAAATATTACCCAAGTATTTAACCAGAAAAGAGGTTAGTAATATTGCACCTAAACTAAAGTTCCTCGTAATCTAGGATACTGAAGAAATTGCTAGCTACTATTCGCTGAGTTGTTCTAGTGTATGTAACAAGTCCAGATAAATGATAATTTACCCATCTATTTTACCGAAGGTAAAGAATATGTAGATCCTCTGGGGCGTACAATATACCTCATTTTGGGCCTTAATTTAAACTAGAAAGCATAAAACAAACTAATACTAAATACAATAAATCAACCGATGTTGGACACAACTAACTATCAGAGTTGGCACTTATTGAAGAATACCCGGCGTATACCATTAGGCACGAATTAGGTATGCCTGTAAAATGGACATTAATTTATAGTTCTGGAATTTTTCGATGGGTTTTTATTAAAATAACTATTTTAAATCACAAGAAACCTAAAATATTGAAAGTTGAAACTGCTGCATATTTGTTTATTTCAGGTGGTTCAGGTGCATTGGGTGTTGGTGCGCTATCAGGAGGTTCAGGTATGTAGTACTGAAAGCAAATTTTGTTCAATGGTTTTATTAAAACGCAAAAAATTATAATAATGTGTATGTTGAGGACGAATGAACCCTTCAGTCTTTATTTTCCTCTAAGAATTTCGAAATCATGTATAAAAAGTTTTAAACCAATTAAATTATATTAAATTTTTTTTAATTAAGCGGGACCCATTTAGTATTAGATTTCCGAAATTCAACTCCTATGCTAAAGTTATTGATTGCAGTTAATTACAAGTATAATTTTGTGTGAAAGACGCGTCAGAAAAATTCAGTGTACATTACCTTGCGTGCATACGGTTTCCTACTAGACTGAGTGCACACAGATCTGATGATATCTTGATAAAATATAATTTACCAAAAAAGCCCTTCACAGTTATGAATTTTCTGTAAACGAATACGTCCAGCTCTTCATAGTATCACATATTATAATCGGTAGGTACACATCAAACTACTAAAGACATGTAACACACCTCTGTACAAAGTGCATATTGGAAGTGAATCTAACATGTAGTTATGTCAGTACTCCGACAATTGAGAAACTCATGTTCTCTCTCGCCTGAGTAATCTCAAATCATTTATATTTTTCGAAATCCCTTGAAAGCATGTTAGGGCCGCGATATGCTTACCGCTAATACAGGTATCAATTACGGATATTTAATTTCAATATCCATTACAGATAGACAGGGTCCTGTCCAAAATGTTGCTAAATGGACCCTAGGTCTGCAGACATTTGGCTATTTCCTGTCAAATATGTTGACAAAAAAAAGAAAAAAATAAATCTATAAAACAGTCGTTAGTTTGGCAGTATCTGGCCAAAATAGCGCGATAGCCATTTACTGAATGTTAAATAGACTAGCCCCTCTAGTCTTACAGTTTCAGGAAACGATTTTCCCTCATGCCCTCATTGTCTTCAAGTTCCATTATTATGCCAGAAAATATAGAAATTCCACATATAATTTCACTAAAATTATCCATCTATGTACACAATTCATAACGATATGAATGATAAACGCAATTTCAGTACACCAGCACAGGCTTTTATTATATAAAGGGCGATCATTTTTTCATGTATTCTGCAAACTGTATAGACATTTACGTAAGCTCACGTCTAAAAATACTACTTTCAGACAAAGAATAAGATTTAAATCAGATCTATATTTTAAAATCGGACGTTTTGTTGTTAATATTTTTTTCTTCCAAAATATATTTCATAAAACACTATTTACGATAGATTTTTTTTCTACTTTTAATGAATTTTTCCTAACCTATACTAAATGTTTCCAAATTCATGGTGGAAACTTCGAAGCGAGGTATAGAACTAATATATGAAGAAGAGAATAGGAAATTTAGGTAGAAATATATCTATTCAGTCATAAACACGGTGTGCTTCAGTTCATTTGAAACAAGATGTTTACAAGTAGATTTCACACTTCCGAATACCAAGTGCCATGCGTGCATGACAACATCGGTGGAGTGAGCGTACACTCCCAATGATGCCAGGTGTTTTACGCACACACGCAGCAGCTACTGATATTCGAGGAACAATAACCTTAGCTGAGTCAACTGGAGTTTCATAGAAAAGACTGTTCATATATCTCCCAAAAAATAATCGAGGCTCGAAAAATAAGTATATCAGCGTGGCGAAGAAACTGGTCTGCCACAGCTGATTCATAGTGCTCCACAAGTGGCATCCAATTAATCGCAAACTTTAGTGCGAAAGTCTGTTCGTAAACTATCATACTGGAATACAATTTGTTTACGAATGAAGATCGGAACATCTAGGAACATTTCTAGTAAGACCTATTCTGGAGAGCAAAATCTAAGCTTTGTCCAACATCTCTTGCACTTAATTCCACTCTATAAGTCAAAGTTCTGCCTTCAACTCTTTTATTACGTACAGTTAGTCGTGGACTAGCTTCATGTCTGATAACGAGCAGAAAGAAGCTTAATAAACTTTGACTATGTGACCGACGAAACACTCTGTGCTCAGGCCTTCGTCTATCCAGAAACTGCGCGTGTGACATTCGTAGCGCTGATGTTGCATTACCGTTTTTACGGCCATGGATGTAATCCATATCTTCTCTTTCGGCATACGTAAAGTCTCCCGTCATCGAGAACAGTGCAGCCGCGAATAGATTATTTCCCTACTGCTATGCAGGCGGAGGTGAAGGCAGTTACTATGGCGGTACATTGCATTTTAACAATAAAATAAAACGGGCGAAAGTTTTCACAGACAGTATGTGAACACTTCTGACACAAGAAAGTCACAACCACACCTCGCCCCTGATCATCAAATTAGAACAACTTTCACAGCGCAACCCTCAGAAACATCTCTCCTTCACATGGATCACGGCAGATGCAGGAAATAAGGGGAATAAAGCAGCTGATAGCTTTGCCACGTAAGCAGTCACTGATGAAGAAGCGAAGAAGCTGAAAATATTTACAATCCCAGCTCCTCCTTCCTACCTCAAAGGGCTATTGCTGGGTCAAGGCGTAAGCCTTTGGTAGGAAGACTTGACGCACTCAAAGTCAGCACCGAACGCAATATTCATATGCGTCTGCGTAGCGGAATGGTCCCCAGAACCCTATGTTTTTGAATGCCATTTGACAGCAGGAAATCCCCTCCCTCTTCCCATGAACAATATAGAAGATTAACACCGCTTCCTTAATAAGCACAAACCGGCAGTAAATACATTTTGCAAAGAGGCCAACAAGCTCAAGGCAATGGGCAAAGATTTGTGTTCTCCTCATTAACCAAAATTCGCAAGGCATGATACATTAACTAAGTCAGCACGTAGTTCCAGAACCGGAAACACATAGGTCAGGCCCTAAAACTTACATAAGTCCCTATTAGAGACACTTATCAAACAATGTACAGTCAATGTACAGTTTCCAGCATCTATTTAACGTTTAATCTTCAGTATATGCATAATACTGAATTTTTTTTATCTATGAGCCTGTATTTTAATCTTATTGTTTTGTAACTGTATTTTTGTATCTCAATATGGATTTTGTATTTTTCTTTGAATTTGATTATGAATGTGCAAAATTACCATAGCAAATTGCAACAACAAGTGTCAAAACAGTAAACCAAATGCAATCTGCCCTTGTACGGCCACGTAAATTCTCTTGTTAACACCTAAAATGCTCTCGAGGCGGCCTCCTAGAGATTTTTCTAGTTCGTGGAGGACGCGTTACACATGCCTGTTTACTTCTGTTAGATATCAGGCGTCCCCGCCCTCCGTTACCAATCACCAACCTACTGTGATGACACACCTACTACCTTCTTTCTCAACAGTACATATTTATGCAAATTACTAATATGCAAATCAGTTTCGTGACATACTTTCCAAAAGATTTAAGTTATATTTATAAATAAATAAAACGGCGTGCGATCCGAGGGTTTTATTTGAATATTATTCATATCTTTGTTCTGGATCATCCCTTCAATTTCTACCTAATAAATTTGAAATCACCCTGTAAAGTTCACAGCAATTCAAAATTTGAGCTTAATCCGAAATATTTACTCATGGTTTTTAAATTAATATAAAACTATACATTCATTAAATTCCTTTGAAATTCCAGGCCGAACAGACACAGCTCCATCTTTCTTACGGAAAAATACTCTGGAAGGAAAAATTGCACAGAAGACTTTTGTACACTAAAACGAAATGCAAATTGCAGATGTGTAGACTATTTGTACACTAAAAAATGGATAGAACATATAATTCACAATACAAGTGTTGTATATTAAAAGAAATTATACATATGATGTGAAAAACTCAAATATCACAAATCCGAAAATATTATATAGGTTTTGGATGGCTCTTAATAATATAAAACAAAGAAGGACACGTTTTTGAGATCTTAAAATGTGATCATGCAATTTTAATAAGCGTACCAAAATTTATTGTCAAATATCTACTTATAATAACTTGTCGAAACATTTTAAACTCTGCTTTATGTACTGAAAACCGCAATGCCAAAATATTATCTAAGTATTTAATCAGAAAAGGGGTTGTAATGTTCTATCTAAACTAGAGTTCCTCGTAAGCTAGGATACTGAAGTAAATTTTAGCTAATATTCCCTGAGTTGTTCTAATGTATGTAATAAGTCCAGAGAAATGATAATTTACCCATCTATTCCAACGAAGATAAAAATATATGTAGATCCTCTGAAGCGTACAATAAAAGAAATTTTGGGCTTTAATTTAAACTAGAAAGTATAAAATAAACTAATACTGAATATAAATAATCAACGGATGTTGGACACAATGAACTTGCGGAGTTGGAACTTATTCAAGGATAGCCGGAGTATACCATTAGGCATGAAATACGCACGGCTGTAAAATGAACAGTAATTTATAGTTCTTGAATTTTTCGATGTATTCTTATTAAAATAACGATTTTAATCACAAGAAACCTAAATTATTAAAAGTTCTAACTGCTGCATATTTGTTTACTTCACGTGGTTCAGGTGCAGTGGGTGCTGGTGCGCTATCAGGAGCTTCAGGTATGTAGTACTCAAAGCATATTTTGTTCAATGGTTTTATTAAAATGCTAAAAATTTATAATAAAGTGTATGTTGAGGAGACATAAACTTGTCAGTCCTTATTTTCCTTTAAGAATTTCGAAATTATGTATAAAAAGGTATTAAACAAATAAAATTATATAAAATATTTTCTATAGTGAATTATTAAGCGGGACCAATTTAGTATTACTAGAGTGAAACGAGAGGTCATCGTAAGCTAGAATTACTGAAGAAATTTCTAGCGACTCTACGCTGAGTTTTTCTAATGTATGTAACAAGTCCAAAGAAATGATAATTAACCCATTTATTCCACCGAAGATAAAAACAAATATGTAGATCCTTTGGGCCGTACAACAAACCTCATTTCTGGGTTTGGTTTAAACTAGAAAGTATAAAATAAACTAATCCTATATACAATTAATCAACCGTTGTTGGGGGTAATTAAATCGCGGAGTTGCAACTCATTGAAGGAATACTCAACGTATATCATTGCGCACGAATTACGCACGGCTGTAAAAATAACATCAATTTATAGTTCTTGAATTCTTCGGACTAATTCTTATTAAAAACAACCATATTAATAATAAGAAACCTAAAATATTGAAAGCTGTATCTGCTGCATATTTGTCTATTTTAGGTGGTTCAGGTGCATTGGGTGTTGGTGCGAAATCCGGAAGCTCAGGTATGTAGTACTCAAAGCAAATTTTGTTCAATGGTTTTACGAAAATGCCAAATTTTATTACAATGTGTATGTTAAGGACGAATAAACTTGACAGTTTTATTTATCGGTGAGAATTTCAAAATCATGTATAAAAAAAGCCGGGATATATATTCGCTCAAATTAACTTAAATGTTTGCTAGAGTAAATTATTATGCAGGATCCATTTAGTATTAATGACATTAGTATTAGCTTCTCGAAATTCATTTTTGTTTACTAAAGTTAACGATTGCAGTGAATTATACTTTTGTGTGAGAGACGCGTCCGAAAATATCAGTGTTACATATCCTTGCGTGTATACGGTTTCCTATAGATTGAGTGCACGCAGAATTGGTGATAACTTGAAAAATATATTTTACCAAATATGCCCTTCATAGTTCTGAATTTTCTATAAACGTATACGTACAGCTGTTCATAGCGGCACATACTATAATCGGTAGGTACACATCAAACTATTAAGATGTTTAAAACAGCTCTGTACAAAGTTCATGTCGGAAATGAATTTAACACGCAATTATGCTGATGCTCGGACAGTTGAGAAACTCATGTTCTCTCTCGCCTTATATACCTGCTTGCCGAGTCATAGACAGGGTCCGGTCCAAAATACAGCGAAATGGGCCCTAGGTCGGAACACATTTGGCTATTTCCTCTCAAATCTATTGACAAAAATAGCCAAATATATGTCGCTAAAACAGTCGTCAGTTTGGCATTATCTCGCCAAAATAGCGCGATAGCCATTTACTGAATGTTAAGTAGACTGGCCCCTCTAGACTTAAATTTTCAGCAAAGCATGTTTTGCCTCATGCTCTTAATGTTATATTGTTATGCCGGAAAATATAGAAATACCACATATAATATCAGTAAAATTATCCATGTATGTAAACAATTCCGAACGATATGAATGATAAGTGCAATTTCAGTACAACAGCACCGGCTTTTATCAGATAAAGGCCGATCATTTTTTCATGTATTCTGCAAAATGTATAGACATTTACGTAAGCTGACGTCTAAACATACTGCTTTCAGACTGTAAATAAGATTTAAATCGTATATATATTTTCAGATAGGACGTTTTGCTGATAATTACTTTTTCTTTCAAAATATATTTCACAAAAATTATTTACGATAGATTTTTTTTTCTACTTTTAATGATTTTTTTCTAACCTATACCGAATGGATCCAAATTCATAGTACAAACTTCGAAGCTAGGTGCAGAACTAAGATATAAAGAATATCTACATAGGAAAGTTAGGTAGAAATCCATCTATTAAGTCATAAACATGGGGTGTCTCACTTCATTTGAAACAAGATGTAAACATCTTGTTAAAATTATTGTCTGAACATCAGGTCAAACTTCCGAATAAAAACAGCGATACATACTTGACGACATCTGTGGAAAGAGTGTGTACACTCACTATGATGCCAGGTACTTCACGCACACACGTAGCAGCTACTGATTTTCGAGTAACGATAACCTTAGCTGAGTTAACTGGAGTTGCATAAACAACACTGTTCATATATCCCCTAGGGGCCCACCAGCGGCGGAGCGTTAAAGTCGCTGAACACTGGTAGTTCGGTCCGAGGGTCGAATCCCGCGGACGGGCTGGCTGCATGGGTGTTTTCGTGGTTTTCCCCATGTGTAACGTATATACGAGCCAGTTTCCCTTAGAAAGACCTCCACGAAGGCATCCCTCCCCTTAGGCAGATAGCCCTAGTGTGCTTTGCCATAATTAAATACACACACACATATCCCCCCAAAAATAATCTAGGCTCGAAAAATAAGTAGATCAGCGTGGCCCAGGGACTGGTCTGCCACGGCTGATTCATAGCGCCCCACAAGTGAATCTAATTAATCGCAAACTTCAGTGCGAAAGTCTGTTGGTGCACTATCATACTGGAAGTGTATTCGTTTACGAATGAAGATCGGAACATCCTTTAACATTTCTAGTAGCAGTTATTATTGAAACAAAAAGATAGATTTTTGCCTTTGGGTCCCTGCGGCTGTAGGTATGGGCCAATTAAAACCTCTGGGACGATAAATGACTGCAGACTCTCCCTGATTCTTTTTGTTGAGATACATGTGGTCGGATAACCTTTGGATTCTCTGTTGCCCACGAATGAGAATTGTCGGCATCAAATACACACTGGCGAGTTATTATCGCCTCACTTGTAATCAGGACTGGAACTGTGAGGACCGGCTGGAATCTAAATTGCGGCAAAAGCAACTGGTAGAATGTCAGGCACAGAGGATTGTCTTGCGGATTCAAGGCTAGTATTCAAAGGAAATGGAAGGAGAGAAGCGATTTTCGTATAACTCTCTCCGAATATTATTCTTACCAAAACCTAAGCTTTGCCCAACATCTCTTGCATTTGCCTATAAGTAAAAATTCTACCATCCACTCTTGTACTATTTACAGTTCTTCGTGCACTAGCTTTCTGTCTGATGACAAGCACAAACAAGTTTCACAAAATTGTCGATATGACCGATGAAACATTCTGAGCTCGGGTATTTGTCAATCTTAAATCTGCGCGTGTGACATTCCTACCGCAGGTCTGGCATTACATTTTGCACAGACATGCATGTAATCCATATTTGCTCTTTCAGCATACGCAATGTCTCCTATAAAAGAAGGCAGTAAAATCGCGAATAGATTAATTTACTACTGCGGTGCACACCAGCTACCTTGTTTCTCAACATTTGGTATTTAAGCAAAACACTAATATGCAAATCTGTTTCGTGACATACTTTCAAGAAGACTTAATTTGTATTTTTGAATATATAAACTGCGTGCGACCCGAGGGTTCTAAGCGAATAGTATTCACATCTTTGTTCTGGATCATCCTTCCAATTTTGTGCCTATTAAATTTGGAATCACCCTGTATAGTTCACGGAAATTCAGAATTTGAGCTTAAACCAAATCATTCACTTATGAGTTTAAAATTAGAATAAAACTATGCATGCATTAAATTCCTTTCAAATTCTAGGGCGAAGAGACACTGTTCTCCCTTTTTTTGAGAAACAAGCTTTGGGTGGAAAAATTGCAAAAGAGCAGAAATTTCGTACATCAAAAAAAAAAAAATAAATAAACAAATAAATAAAATGGATAGAACATATAATTCATATTGGCTAAGCTATCTATCAAACGAAATTATGCGTCTCACGTGAACACCTCACAAATCTTAAAACATTATATAGGTTTGCGTGACTCATAACAATGTAAAACAAAGAAGGACACATTTTTGAGAAACTAAAATGTGTACATGCAGTCTTAATAATCCTAGCAATATATATTTTCAAATATCTACTTATGATCAGTAAGCTCAAATGTCTACTTATGAAAACCGCTATGCCAAAACATTACCCAAGTATTTAACCAGAAAAGATGTAATATTCTACCTAAACTAGAGTTCCTCGTAAGATAGAATGCTGAAGAAATTTCTAGCTACTCTTCGCTGAGTTGTTCTAGTGTATGCAACAATTTTAAAGAAATGATAATTTACTCATCTATTCCACCATTGACAAAGAATATGTAGATCATCTGGGGCGTACAATATAACTCATTTTGGGCTATGATTTAAACTAGAAAGTATAAAACAAACTAATGCTAAATATAATTAATCAACTGATGTTGGACACAATTAACTCGCGAAGTTGGCACTAATTGAAGGATACCCGGCGTATACCATTAGGCACGAATTAGGTATGCCTGTAAACTGAAAATTAATTTATAGTTCATTAATTCTTCTGATTGATTTTTATTAAAAAGAACCATTTTAATCACAAGAAATGTAAACACAAGAAATTTTAATCACAAGAAATATAAACTATTGAAAGCAATAAGCTGTTGCATATTTGTTCATTTCAGGTGCATTGGGAGTTGGTGCGGATATCAGGAGGTTCAGGTATGTAGTACTCAAAGCAGATTTTGTTCGATTTTATTAAATACTCAAAAATTTATTATAATGGTCATGTCAAAAACGAATGAACTTGTCAGTCTTTATTTTCCTGTAAGTAGGTCGAAATCATGTATAAATAACCCCGGGATATATATTCGCTCAAATTATATTAAATGTATTCGATAGAGAATTATTATGCGAGACCAATTTAGCATTAATCGCATTAGTATTAGATTTTCGAAATTCGACTACTAAAGGTTAACAGTCGCACGGAATTATACTTTTGTGTGAAAGACACGTCAGAAAAATTCAGTGTTACATATCGCTGCGTGCATACGGTTTTCTAATAGATTGAAAGCACGCAGAACTGATCATAGCTTGATAAAATATATTTTACCAAAAAACCACTTCACAGTTCGGAATTTTCTACGAACGCGTACCTACAGCTCTTCATACTATCACGGGTTATAATCAGAAGGTGCACATCAAACCACTAAAGACGTTTAACACAGCTCTGTACAAAGTGCATGTCGGAAGTGAATATAACACGCAGTTATGTCATTGCTTGGAGAATTGAGAAACTCATGTTCACTCTCGCCTTATATACCTGCCTCCAAAGTACTCTCTAATAATTTCTGCTTCTCGGAATCCTTCGAAACCTCTTAGGGCCGCGATACGGTTTCAGCTAATGCAGGCATCTTTTAAGGCTATTCAATTTCGATATCCATTACATTTAGACAGGATATTGAACAAAATGTTGCTTGGTGTTTGGTGTATTTAATTATGACAAAGCACACTAGGGTTATCTGCCTAAGGGGAGGGATGTCTTCGTGGAAGACTTTCTAAGGTAAACTGGCTCGTATACACGTTACACATGGGGAAAACCACGAAAACACCCATGCAGCCAGCCCATTCGCGGGATTCGAACCACGGACCGAACTACCAGCGTTCAGCGACTTTACCGCTCGGCCGTTGGTGGGCCGTAACAAAATGTTGCAAAATGGGCCTCAGGTTTGGAGATGATTTGCCTATTTTCTGTCAAGTATGTTGACAGGAATATGGAAAAATAAGTCGCTAAAACAGTCGTCAGTGTGGCAATATCTCGCCAAAATAGCGCCATAGCCATTCACTGAATGTTAAATAGACTGGCGCCTGCATTCTTAAGTTTTCAGCAAAACATCCTTTCTCTCATGGCTTTTCTCGGTATATTATTATGACGGAAAATACAGAAATTCCTCATATAATTTCACTAACAATACAGTGGTGGCCAAAATTGCAGAGGACTTTTGGAAATTTTTATGTTTTTGAACTTTGTATGCTTATAGAAAATGTTACGTTTCGCAAAATGCAAACATGTATACATCATTTTAAAGAGAATTTATTACTGAATTCATTACAAAACACAAAATTCAATTATTTGCAACAGAAGTTATATGTACTTAATTATAAATGCGAAACACAGTTATGAAGTGGTTTGTAATGTCTAGCTTTCCTGGCCAATCACTGTTCTTGGTCAGAGAAAATATTCTGCTGACAAAAATCTAAGCATTGTCCAACATCTCTTGCACTTGATAAGAGTCTATAAATCAAAACTCTACTTTCAACTGTGTTACGCACAGTTCGTCGTGGAATAGCTTCCTGTTTTATGACGAGCACAAAGAAGTTTCACAAACCTGACGACGGGACCGATGAAACATTTTGCGCTGGGGGATTCATCTATGGAGAAACTGTGCATCTGACATTCGTAGCGCTGCTGTGGCATTTCCGTTTCAAGAAGATTTAATTTGTATTTATGTATAAATAAACGGCCTGCGACCCGAGGGTTCTACGTGAACATTATTCAAATCTTTGTTCTGGATTATCCCTCTAAATTTGAGCCTAATAAATTTGGAATCACCACGTATAGTTCACGGCAATTCAGAATTTGAGCTGAATCCGAAACATGAACTCATGGATTTAAAATTAGAATAAAACTATACATTCACTATATTCCTTTCAAATTCTAGGGCGAACAGACGCAGCTCTATCTTTTTCGGAAACAATCTTTGGCAGAAAAAAAATTACAGAAGAGTAGACAATTTATACACTAAAAAAATCGATAGAACACATAATTCACAGTTGCAGTGCTATGTATCAGACGAAATTATGCATCTGACGTGAAAAACTCAGGAATCACAAATCTGAAAACATTATATGGGTCTGGATGGCTCTTAATAATAGAAAACAAAGAAATAAAAATTTTTGAGAAGTTGAAATGTGTTCATGCATCTTAATAATCCTAGCAAAATTTATTATCAAATATCTACTGTCGAAACATTTTAAACTCTGCTCGTGATTGCCCTATGTACTGAAAACCGCAATCCCAAAATATTATCCAAGTATTTAATCAGAAAAGAGGTTGTAATATTCTACCTAAACTAGAGTTCCTCGTAAGCCAGGGTACTGAAGAAATTTTTAGCTAATATTCGCTGAGTTGTTCTAATGTTTGTAACAAGTCCAGAGAAATGATAATTTACCCATCTATTCCACCGAAGATAAAAAAAAATATGTAGATCCTCTGGAGCGTACAATATACCTCATTTTGGGCTTTAATTTAAACTAGAAAGTATAAATTAAACTAATACTAAATACAAATAATCAACCGATGTCGGACACAATGAACTCTCGAAGTTGGATTTTAAAGATACCCGGCGTATACCATTAGGCATGAATAACGCACGGCTGTAAAATGAACATTAATTTATAGTTCTTGAATTTTTCGATTAATTCTTATTAAAATAACAATTTTAATCACAAGAAACGTAAAATATTGAAAGTTCTAACTGCTGCATATTTGTTTACTTTAGGTGGTTCAAGTGCATTGGGTGTTGGTGCGCTATCAGGAGGTTCAGGTATGTAGTACACAAAGCAAATTTTCTTCAATGGCTTTATTAAAATGCCAAAAATTTAGAATAATGTGTATGTTGAGGAGGAATGAAATTGTCAGTCTTTATTTTCCTTTAAGAATTTCCAAATTATGTATTAAAAGTATTAAATTACATTAAATGTTTTCTATAGTGAATTATTAAGCGACACCCATTTAGTATTATTAGAATGAAACGAGAGTTCATCGTAAGCTAGAATACTGAAGAAATTTCTAGCGACTATTCTCTGAGATTTTGTAGTGTATGTAAGAAGTCCAAAGACATGATAATTTACCCATTTATTCCACCGAGGATAAAAACAAATATGTAGATCCTTAGGGCCGTACAGTATACCTCATTTCGGTGTTTTGTTTAAACTAGAAAGTATATATTAAACTAATCTTAAATACAATTAATCAACCGATGTTGGACGCAAATTAATTCGCGAAGTTGGCACTGATTGAAGGATACTCAACGTATACCATTGCGGACGAATTACGCACGGCTGTAAAAAGAACATTAATTTATAGTTCTTGACTTCTTCGGACTAATTCTTATTAAAAACAACCACATTAATAATAAGAAACCTAAAATATTGAAAGCTGTATCTGCTGCATATTTGTCTATTTTAGGTGGTTCAGGTGCATTGGGTGTTGGTGCGAAATCCGGAAAATCAGGTATGTAGTACTCAAAGCAAATTTTGTTCAATGGTTTTAATAAATGACAAATTTTATTACAATGTCTATGTTAAGGTCGAATAAACTTGTGACTTTTATTTATCTGTGAGAATTTCAAAATCATGTATAAAAAAAGCGGGGATATATATTTGCTCAAATTAACTTAAATGTTTGCTAGAGTGAATTATTATGCAGCATCCATTTAGTATTAATCACTTCTCGAAATTCATTTTCTTTTACTAAAGTTAACGATTGCAGTGAATTATACATTTGTGTGAAGGACGCGTCCGAAAATATCAGTCTTACATATCTTTGCGTGCATACGGTTTCATATAGATTGAGTGCACGCAGAATTGGTGATAACATGATAAAATATATTTTACCAAATATGCCCTTCATAGTTCTGAATTTTCTAGAAACGTATACGTACAGCTCTTCATAGTGTCACATAGTATAATCGGTAGGTACACATCAAACTACTAAAGATGTTTAAAACAGCTCTGTACAAAGTGCATGTCGGGAGTGAATCTAGCACGCAATTATGCTAATGCTCGGACAATTGAGAGACTCATGTTCTCTCTCTCCTTATATACCTGCCTTTCGAATAATCTCTAATGATTTCTATTTCTAGAAATCCTTTGAAAGCATGTCAGGGCCACGATATGGTTTCAGCTAATACAGGTATCAATTATGGTTATTCAGTTCCAATATGCATTACAGATAGACAGGTTACGGTCCAAAACATAGCGAAATGGGCCCTTAGGTCTGGACATATTTGGCTATTTCCTGTCAAATCTGTTGACAATAATAGCCAAATATATGTCGCTAAAACAGTCGTCAGTTTGGCATTATCTCGCCAAAAGTAGCGCGACAGTCATTTACCGAATGTTAAATAGACTGGCCCCTCTAGTCTTAAGTTTTCAGCAAATCATGATTTGCCTCATGTTCTCCATGTTATATTGTTATGCCTGAAAATATAGAAATTCCACATAAAATTTCACTAAAATTATCCATCTGTGTACATAATTCCTAACGATATGAATGATAGTCGCAATTTCAGTACAACAACAACGGCTTTTATCAGATAATGGTCGATCATTGTTTCATGTATTCTGCAAAATGTATAGACAATTACGTAAGCTGACGCCTAAACATACTGTTTTTAGACTGTAAATAAGATTTAAATCATATATATACTTTCAGATAAGACGTTTTGCTGATAATTACTTTTTCTTTCAAAATATATTTCACAAAACTATTTACGATAGATTTTTTTTTCTACTTTTAATGAATTTTTTCTAACCTAAACCGAATGGTTCCAAATTCATAGTACAAACTTCGAAGCGAGGTACAGAACTAAGATATAAAGAATATCTACATAGGAAAGTTAGGTAGAAATCCATCTATTAAGTCATAAACATGGGGTGTCTCACATCATTTCAACCAAGATGTAAACATCTTGCTCAAATTGTTGTTTGAACATCAGGTCAAACTTCCGAATAAAAACAGCGATACATACTTGACGACATCTGTGGAGAGAGTTGTGCACATTCACAATGATGCCAGGTACTTCCCGCACACACATGGCAGCTACTGATATTCGAGTAACGATAACCTTAGTGGAGTCAACTGGAGTTGCATAAACAACACTGTTCATATATTCCAGAAAAATAATCGAGGCTCGAAACATAAGTGGATCAGCGTGGCCAAGGGATTGGTCTGCCACGGCTGATTCAAAGCGCCCCAAAGTGATATCTAATTAATCGCAAACTTCAGTGCGAATGTCTGTTGGTGCACTATCATACTGGAAGTGTATTCGTTTACGAATGAAGATCGGAACTTTCTCGAACATTTCTAGCTGCACCTATTATAGAAACAAAGAGATAGATTTTTGCCTTTGGGTCACAGCGGCTGTAGGCATGGGCCAAATAAAAGCTCTTCGACGATAACTGACTGCAGACTCACATTGACTTTTTTTGTTGAGATACATATTGTTCGCATAAGCTTTGGATTCTATGTTGCTCACGAATGAGAATTGTAGGCATCAAATACACACAGGCGAGTTAATATCGCCTCACTTGTAATCAGAACTGGAACTGTGAGGACCGGCTGTAATCTAAATTGCCGCAAAGCCGCTGGTAGAATGTCAGGCACAGAGGATAGTCTTGCGGATTCAAGGCTTGTATTTACAGAAAATGGAAGGGGGGATAAACGATTTTCGTGTAACAGTCTCCGAATATTATTCTGACCAAAACGTAAGCTTTGCCCAACATCTCTTGCGCTTGATTCGAGCCTATAAGTAAAAATTATATCTTCTACTCTTGTACTATTTACAGTTCGTCGTGCACTAGCTGCCTGTCTGATGACGAGCCGAAAGATGTTTCACAAAATTGACGATATGACCGATGAAATATTCTGTTCTCAGACATTCGGTTATTGCGAAACTGACCTGTGTGACGTCCCTAGTGCAGCTCTGGCATTACATTTTGCACCGACATGCATGTAATCCATATTTTCCCTTTCAGCATACTTAATATCTCCCATCAAAGAAGACAGTACAATCCGCGAATAGATTAATTCACTACTGCGATGCACACCAACTACCTTGTTTCCTCAAAAGTAGGTATTTATCCAAATAACTAATATGCAAATCTGTTTCGTGACATACTTTCAAAAGACTTAATTTGTATTTATGAATATATAAACGGCGTTCGATCCGAGGGTTCTATGTGAATATTATTCATATCTTTGTTCTGGATCATCCTTCCAATTTTGTGCCTATTAAATTAGGAATCACCTTGAATAGTTCACGGCAATTCAGAATTTGAGTTTAATCCGAACCATTCAGTCATGAGTTTAAAATTAGAATAAAATTATACATCCATTTTATTCCTTTCAAATTCTAGGGCGAAGAGACACTGTTCTTTCTTTTTTGGGGAAACATACTTTGGCTGGAAAAATTGCAGAAGAATAGAAAATTTGTACACTAAAAGAATTGATGGAACACATAATTAACAGTTGCAGAGCAATTTATCAAAGGAAATTGTGCATAAGACGTGAAAAACTCAGATTTCCCAGATATGAAACATTATATGGTTTTGGATGGCTCTTAAATGTATAAAACAATGAAGAACAAATTTTTGAGAAGTTAAAATGTGTGCATGCAGTCTTAATAATCCTAGCAAAACATATTTTCAAATATCTACTTATGATCAGTTGCCGGACTGTTTTAAGCACGGGTCGTGATTGCCTTATGTACTGAAAACCGCTATGCCAAAATATTACCCAAGTATTTGACCAGAAAAGAAGTTTTACTATTCTCGTAAGAGAGAATACTGAAGAAATTTCTAGTTACTATTCGCTGAGTTGGTATTCCTAATAGATTGAATGCATGCAGAACTGACGGTAGCTTGATAAAATATATTTTACCAGAAATGCACTTCATAGTTCTGAATTTTCTACAAACGTGTACGTATAGCTCCTCATAGTATCACAGAGTATATATTCAGTAGTTACGCATCAAATTACTAAAGACTTTTAACACAACTCGGTACAAAGTGCATGTCAGGAGTGAATCTAACACGCAGTTTTTTAACGCTTGGAACATTGATGAACTATCTACTAATAACAATTGAGAAACTCAAGTTCTCTCTTGCCTTATATACATGCCTCCCGAGTAATCTCTAATGATTTCTGTTTCTCGAAATCCCTTGAAAGTATGTCAGGTCCGCGATACGGTTACAGCTAACGCAGGTATCAATTACGGATATTCAATTTCAATAGCCATTACAGTTAGACAGGGTTCGGACCAAAATGTTCAAATTGGGCCGCAGGTTTGGAGACGTTTGGCTATTTTCTGTCAAATGTGTTGAAAAAATAGGCAAAAATAAGTCGCTAAAACAGTTATCAGTTTAGCAATATCCAATCAAAATAGCGCGATAGCCATTCACTGGTTGTTAAACAGACTTGCTTCTGCATTCTTAAGTTTTCAGCAAAGCATGATTTCTCTCATGCTTTTAATGTTATATTGTTATGCCGGAAAATACAGAAATTCCACATATAATTTCACTAACATTGTACACCTGAGTGCACTATTCATAACGATATGAAGGATGCTCGCACATGTAACAGCACCGGCTCAATACAGGGGGCAATCACGAGCAGAGTTTAAAACGTTTCGACAAATTATCATAAGTAGATATTTGGCAATACGTTCTGTTAGGATTATTAAGATTACATGAACACATTCAACATTGTAAAATTTTTCTTGCTTTCTTTTCTGTTATTAGGAGCCATCCAGATACGTATAATGTTTACAGATTTGTGATATCTGAGTTTTTCACGTCAGATGCATAATTTCGTTTGATAGATAGCCAAATTTATTTTACCAAAGACGCACTTCATAGTTAGGAATTTTCTACAAACGTGTACCTACAGGTCTTCATGGTACCACATAGTATAATCAGAAGGTGCACATCAAACTACTAAAGATGTTTAAGACAGGTGCTGTACAAAGTGCATGTCGGGAATGTATCTAACACGCAGTTATGCCGATGCTTGGACAATTGAGAAACTCATGTTCACTCTCGCCTTACATACCTGTCTCCAAAGTACTCTCTAATAATTTCTGCTTCTAGAAATCCTTTTGAAAACTCTCAGGGCCGCGATACCGTTGCAGCTAATAAAAGTATCAATTAAGGGTATTCCATTTCAATATCCATTACATTTAGACAGGATCTGAAGCAAAATGTTGCAAAATAAGCCTCAGGTTTGGAGACGGTTGCCTATTTCCTGTCAAATATGGTGACAAAAATAGGCAAAAATAAGTCGCTAAAACAGTTGTTAGCTTGGCAATATCTCGCCAAAATAGCGCCATAGCCATTCACTGAATGTTAAATAGACTGTCGCCTGCATTCTTAAATTTTCAGCAAAACATCATTTCTCTCATGATCTTCTCATTATATTATTATGACGGAAACTACAGGTATTCCACATATAATTTCACTAACAATATACATCGGCGTACATAGTTCATAACGATATGAAGGATAGTTGCATTTTCAGTGTAACAGCACCGGCTCTTATCAGAAAAACTGTGCTCATTTTTTAATGTATTCTGGAAAATGTATAGTCATTTACGTAAGCTCACGTTACAAATACTACTTTCAGACCATGAATAAGATTTAAATCATCTCTATATTTTTAAATCGGACGTTTTGTTGTTAATAATTTTTTATTTCAAAATATATTTCACAAAACAATATTTGCGATAGGTATTCTTTTCTACTTTTAATGAATTTTCTCTAACCTATAAACAAATGGTTCCAAATTCATCGTACAGATGTAAGGTATGAACAGCCGCTAAAACAGTCGTCACTTTGACAGTATCTCGCCAAAATAGCGCGATAGCAATATACTGAATGTTAAATAGACTGGCCCCTCTAGTGTAAATTTTCTGCAAAAGATTTTCTTTCATGCCCTCATGCTGTTCACGTTATATAATTATGCCGGAAAATATAGAAATTCCACATATAATTTATCAGATAATTATGTTAATTAAACAAGATGTTTACAAGAAGATTTCAAACTTCCGAATACCAATAGCGATACATGCATGACATCGGTGAAGAGTTAATGCCACTCCCAATGACTCCAATGATGCCTCAATGATGCCAGGTGTTTTACGCACACCGCGCAGCAGCTACTGATATTCGAATAACGATAACCTGAGTCAACTGGAGTTGCATAGATATGACTGTTCATATATTCCCCCAAAAATAATTGAGGTTCGAAAAATAAGTGGATCAGCCTGGCCAAGGGACTGGTCTGCCACGGCTGATTCATATCGCTCCACAAATGACGTCCACTTAATCGCAAACTTCAGTGCGAAAGTCTGTTGGTGCACTGCCATACTGGTATAACATTCGTTTACGAATGAAGATCGGAACATCTGTAGGAACATTTCTAGTAAGACCTATTCTAGAGACCAAAATCTAAGCTTTGTTCAACATCTCTTGCACTTGATCTCAGTCTATAAGTCAAAATTCTACCTCCAATTCTTTCATTATGTACAGTTAGTCGTTGACAAGTTTCCTATCTGATGACGAGCAGAAAGAAATTTATCAAAGTTGATGACGTGACCGACGAAACACTCTGTGCTGAGGCATTCGTTTATCCATAAACTGCGCGTGTGACATTCGTAGTTCTTCTGTGGCATTACCGTTTTTACGGCTATAGATGTAATCCATATCTTCTCTTTCGGCATACGTAAAGTCTCCCCTCATCGAGGACAGTGCAGCCGCGAATAGATTGTTTCCCTACTGCTATTCAGGCGGAGGTGAAGGCAGTTAGTATGGAGGAACATTGCATTTTTAACAATAAAATAAAACGGGCGAAAGTTTTCACAGACAGTATGTGAACACTTCTAACACTAGAAAATCACAACCACACCTTGGCCCTGATCATCAAATTAGAACGACATTTACAGCGCAACCCGCAGAAACATCCCTCCTTCACATGGATCAAATCACATGCAGAAAATGAGGAGAATGAAGCAGCTGATAGCTTTTCCACGCAAGCAGCCACTGATGAAGAAGCTGAAAAAAATTACAATCCCATCTCTTCCTTCCTACCTCAAAGAACTATTACTGGGTCAAGGCGAAAACCTTTGGCAGGAAGACTGGACGCACTCAATGTCAGCACCGAACGCAACATTACGTCTTATTTTACGGGACAAATCCCATTACCGACCTACTTCAATAGACATGGAATAACATTCATGGGCATATGCGTCTGCGGAGCGAAAGGGTTCCCAGACAACTATGTTTTTGAATGCCATTTGACAGTAGGACATCCCCTCCCTCTTCCCATCAGCAATATAGAAGCTTAACACCGTTTCCTTAAAAGCACAATCCGGCAGTAAATACATTCTGAAAAATTGCCAACAAGTTCAAGGGAATGGGCAAAGATTTTTGCTCTCTTCATTAACCAAAATTCGCAAGGCATGATACACTAACTAAGTCAGCTCGTAGTTCCACATCCGGAAACACATAAGTCAACTCCTAAAACTTACATAAGTCCCTATCATAGACACTTATCAAATAATGTACACTCAATGTACAGTTTCCAGCATGTATTTAACGTTTCCTCTTCTGTATATGCATAATACTTCATATTTTTATCTACGAGCCTGTACTTTAATCCTATTATTTTGTAACTGTATTTTTTAACTCAATTTTGATTTTGTATTTTTCTTTGAATTTGATTATGAATGTGCAAATTTACCATAGCAAATTACAACAACAAGTGTCAAAACAGTAAAACAAATGCAATCTGCCCTTGTATGGCCATGTAAATGCTCTTATTAACATCTAAAATGCTCCCGAGGCGGCCTCGTAGAGTTTTTTCTGGTTAGTGGAGGGCGCGGTACACATGTCTGTTTACTTCTGTTAGATATCAGGCGTCCTCGCCCTCCGTTACCAACCACCAACCTACTGCGATGCACACCTACTACCTTCTTTCTCAACAGTACATATTTATGCAAATTACTTATATGCAAATCAGTTTCGTGACATACTTTCAAGAAGATTTAAGTTATATTTATGAATAAATAAACGGCGTGCGATCCGAGGGTTCTATTTGAATATTATTCATATCAATGTTCTGGATCATCCCTCCAATTTTCTACCTAATAAATTTGGAATCACCCTGTAAAGTTCACAGCAATTCAGAATTTAATTAATCCGAAATATGCACTCATGGGTTTTAAATTAATATAAAACTAGACATTCATTAAATTCCTTTCAAATTTCAGGCCGAATAGACAGAGCTCTCTCTTTTTTAGAGAAACATGCATAGAAGGAAAAATTGCAGAAGACTTTTGTACACTAAAACGAAATGAAAATTGCAGATGTGTAGACTGTTTGTACACTAAAAAATGGATATAACATATAATTCACAGTACCAGCGCTGTCTATTAAAAGAAATTATACATCTGACGTGAAAAACTCAGATATCACAAATCTGAAAATATTATATAGGTTTGGATGGCTATTAATAATATAAAACAAAGAAGGAGAAGTTTTTGAGAACATGAAATATGCTCATGCAATTTTAATAAGAGTTGCAAAATTTATTTGGAAGTATCAATTTATGATAAGGTGGCGAAACGTTTTAAACACTGGTCGTGATTGGCCTCTGTACTGAAAATCGCAATGCCAAGTTTTTCACAAATTTCCCAAGTATTTCACCATAAAAGAGGTTGTGATACTCTACCTAAACTAGAATCCTTTGTATACGAAAATACTGATGAAATTTCTTGCTACTATTCGCTGAGTTGCTCTAGTGTATATAAAAAGTCCAAAGAAATGTTAATTTACCCATTATTCCAACCGAAGATGAGTAAATATGTTATTCCTCTGGGGCGTACAATAAACCACATTTAGTCTTTAAACTACAAAGCATAAAATAAATTAAGAGTAAATACAATTAATCGACCGATGTTGGACACAACTTCCAGAGTTGGCACTTTTTGAACGATAACCGGCGTGTACCATTATACACGAATTACGCACGGCTGTAAACTGAACATTAATTTATAGTTCTTTAATTCTTCGGATTGATTTTTATTAAAAAGAACCATTTTAATCACAAGAAACCTAAAATATTAAAATCTATAATAAATATTTGTACATTTTAGGTGGTTCAGGTGCATTGGGAGTTGGTGCGAAATCAGGAGGTTTAGGTATGTAGTACTTAAATCAAATTTTGTTCAATGGTTTTTTTATTAAAATGTCAACAATTTATTATAATGTGTATGTTAAGGACGAATGAACTTGTCAATCTTTATTTTCCTGTAAAAATTTCGAAATCATGTATAAAATATGCTGGGATATATATTCGCTCAAATTATGTCAAGTGTTTTCTGTTGTGAACTATTATGCGGGACCCATTTAGTATCAATCGCATTAGTAATAGTTTTCCGAAATTCGACTTTGATACTAAAGTTAACAATTGCAGTGTATTATACGTTTGTGTGAAAGACGCGTTAGAAAACTTTAGTGTTACATATCGTTGCGTGCAAATTTTCTACAAACGTCTAGTTACAACTTTTCACATTATCACAGAGTATAATCAGTAGGTACATATCAAACTACTAAGGACGTTAAACACAGCGCATTACAAAGCGAATGTCGGGAGCGAATCTAACACGCAGTTATCTCAATGCTTGGAACTGTGATGAAATAACTACTATTGAGAACCTCATGTTCTTCTCTCGCCTTTTATACTTTTCTATCTGCCGCCGAGTAACGTCTAATACTTTCTACTTCTGGAAATGCCATGGAACCATGCCAGGACCGCGATACGGTTACAGCTAATAGAGGTATCAATTACGGACATTTAATTTCAATATCCATTACAGTTATACAGCTCCGGACCAAAATTTGCAAACTAGGTCACATGCTGTTAGACGTTTGGCCATTTCCTGTCAAATGTGCTGACATACGGAGAAGGACGTGGGCACTACTCCTCTACCAATACGTTTAATCGGTATAGCGCCACGTGCACCTTTATCTAGATAACCATACGTAGTCATCATGCTAATACACTATTACATAAACATACATACAAATTTGGTACTTAAAATACAATGGCGGTAAAGTAATTAGTGTTAGACTCTAGTGTCTAACACTAATTAACATACATTGCCATGTTACAAGGTGTATGGAAAAGCATGGATATGGTAGCATATATACATAACGGGTATATACATATATACATTACGATCATAGTGTACTCACCATGAGTACACTATGATCCTTTGAAGCATTATCATTAGATACACAAGACGTGTACATACTGAAATATTAGGTGCGCAATATTATGCTGGAATAAGTAATTAGTACAGTGAATTAAATGTTAGACCTTAGCTTAGTACTGTGGGGTGCAGTGTCTTGCTACTGGATTATTTGAGCCGTTTCCTAAGTACATTAACCTTTGTACAAAGATATTAAAACACATGTATCAGGTACACAGTAATCAGCGGGTACCCAAGCGTTAGGTGAGTGCTACTTTAACATACATTAACAATAGGTACTTAATACAATTCTGAACAGATAATTGGTGCAATTAATTTTTAGAGTGGGACCCTAGTTTGATTTTTGCGATACGGCGCCGTGTTACAGGATAAAATGTGCAGATTCTTGGTTAATTACATCATATATACAGAACATAAATTCATATACATATATACAGACATTCTGGGTGGACACATTAGGTGCATGATTATCCAGGGGCGTAATAGATGTATATTAACTATACAGTGCCAAGATATGTGATAATACTAGTAGATATTTGGATACAATTACATATAAACAACGACATACAGACACAATTACATATAGACAAAAGCGTATATACGCTTATATTTGGTACATAATATTCATTGGTGACATAAACATTTGGTATTTACTTCATATACTTACATAAACTCTAGACCGATAAAATAATATTATAACTAGTAATAGGTGCTTATTAATTTCATAATAGGACACTAGACTTATATTTTGCCTTACTGTGTCACGTTACGTAGAAATATATGCGGGTGCATGGGTACAGTTTTATAATTTGTTACATATAATTAATATGTAACAAATTACACACAGAAATAAAATGCAGTGAAAGTTTGAAGTAATTTTTATTTTGTTTCTTCCATATTAAAATGAGATACAAAACCACAAAAGTTACTCGATCTCGCTCTATTTTTTTCGATCACCTTAAGTTCCAGACACAATTTGATGTAACAGTTTAATGGATTTTGTAGGCCCAGTTCTTAACGAATTAGAAATTCTAGGTATCGTAAAGTACCATCTTGTTTCAAAATACAGTAGAACACTATTCTTAGAAGTAACAATGTGAAAATAATCGAAAAAACACTGACTTCTTTCTTTTGTCATATTTGTCATAATTCTTCCTAGGCTCGTAATTTGGCCTGAGCGCCCATATCCGTAGGATCGGTACTCACTGTCTAAGAATATGATGTTTGTAAACTTACTTCCGATGTGGCTGTCTGGGGGCTTGAAATGACTACTCCGACTTATGAATAACTCCCCAAGTAGCACAGCAACATCTTAACGACGTTGCAAACTCGTTGCGGATGTCGTTGCAAAAACGTTGCAATATGTCGTCTTTAAGACGCCCAGATGTCCGCCAACATGCACTATTTTGCAACCGTTGCAAAGATGTCTTTATTACGTCTTTGCAGATAAGGTTTTTGTCGCATAGATGTCGCTATTGCGTCTTTCGCAGGTGATATTTTGGTTGTGAAAGCATCGTTTCACGACGTCTTAAAGACGTCTAAATGTTCGCCAAATTCCACCTTTTTGCAACAGTTATGAAAATACCGTTATTATGTCCTTGTGTTGCATATTGATTTATGCAGAAAAATAAGCTTAATATTTAATATAATTTTCTTCTGTTTTAAAATTTTTTATTCCTTGTATTTATCTAAGGTTTAAATATTTTATCATTTCCTGAAAACCAGAAGATTATACAGTTTTTTCTCTTTAGACTAAATATGCATAATTAATAATAGACTTCATTATTTTCAGTACTTTAAAATATAGATTTTAAATTCCTCTTTAGACTAAATATACATAACTAATAATAGCCTTAATTATTTTCAGTACTTTAAACTATATTTTTAAATAACTCAAATTCTAAGTTACGATTATTTAAGATTTGATCATTTTTTTTCCCTTAAGTGAGAGTAATTATGAAAGTGGTTATTATAAATATATAACATTAATTGTAGGTTTTAAGTAAATAAAACTCAATTAAACATAAATAAAAGTAAAGATACATATGGTGGGTAAAAAAAGAGCGTTTCTG